CAATTCCAAATTCGATAAAAAACCAAGCATTTTATTTCATTATTTTCCACTTTGGCACTCACACAATACGATCTGGAGCATGGCCGCTGCTTTTGTGCATTGTTCATAAAATCCACTCAATTTATCATTTGGAGCGTTCAATAAATCTCGGTAAAGATAAATGTTTTCTCTTTGTCATTACACCACTGTAAAAACAAGCAGAGCCACAGTATATTTATAGGATATTACTGCCAGTGAGATGCTGATGGGGGAAGTTTGAAAGCCAACCACATGGGCCAAATAGTGCTGGCTTATGCAGTCTGTTACCTCTAGCACCTCAGTCTGCTCTGTTCTGTGCCCTGTACCGAAAACGCGATTTCATTCTCAAGATTTTAACATTAATATGGAAAGACGTGCCGGCAGTGTTACATTATTCACAACCTCCTTGCTGAAGGGCAGAGGCGCTAACCACTCTGCCATTGTGCACATAAACTTGTACCAGAAATTGGAGCTGAAGATTAATCTGAATCTTTGCACTCTTGGGGTTTGAACATGGAAAACAGGTACATTTAAATTCAATATGGGGGATGAGTGGTGAGCACTTACAGCAAGGAGGTCCTTTTTTGAATTCCCAGGTTTGGGGGACGGGGACAGGAGGAGGGGTTATTGGTTATTTAGTATTTTCTCACCTTGACTGGGTGGGTTTCCAATTTCCCCCTTCAATCTAAAACAGTGGGGATCATGAAGCACAGAGCTCGGTGTCGCAAGATTTCAAGTTATTAAAAATAAATTGGCTTTAAGCTGAAAATGAAACTAAATAACAGAAAATAATCTCAAATGAGTCAAATTAAACCGATTTTGTGATTGTGTTGGTTGATTTGTTATTTAAACTTATCCTAACTGGCCAGTCCTCCATATAGTCCTGACCAAGCCGAGGTTAAGATCTGGAGATGGTTCCCTGGGTGCTGCTGCTCTGCTGCTCACTGCTCCTGACAAGATGTCCAAAGGGAATTGGACTTTAGGTCAAATGCAGAGGACAAATTTCAGGTATTTTACACCTTACGCCAGGCAATTTATAAGTTCAGAATAAGCTAATTGGTCTCATGGTGATAGATTCAGGGTTATTAACTACTTAAATAAGGAATCATTCTTATTAGAGATCGACCAATATATATATTTTTTTTTTTGATGACTGATTGTTTAGAATCCAGAGCAAACTGTGGCAGATAAGCTTTACCAATATTTTTGAGCTGAAGTAGGGCCAATTTGGTAATTCATTTACAACAAACTCACCTATAGTCCCTTTTTAACATCTTTTTGTGATAAAAATTGTCACAGTTTGAGCTATTATCTATTTGAAAATGTTCAAATAATGTTTTGTGTGTACTCTTTAGGCAGCAGATCGGCCAAAACAGCTGGAGACTTTTGGCCGAATAGCCAATAACAGTCCGAATATTGGCCAACCGATATATCTATCTATCTTCAGTTGTTAATAAACTATTTGTTTATTATGAAGTCTTTGTTCATGCTTTATCAAGGCTATTAAAAGTGTAATGATAAAGGAAATACATGACAGGGTACAAACTTTACCCTCTAGATTAGTTGTACCTCATCAAAACACATACCTTCAGTTGTGTCTTGTTGTTTGGGTATATATATATTTGTTTTTCCTTCATTTTATTTCTAGCCTAACCTTTGTGTGTTCTCCCTTGGTGCTAGAGGTGACCATGATAAAAGAACAAATCATAAAGTGTACTCTGTTCTATAATTTGACCTTTGCTAAACAAACCACACTTGACAAGAGCAGGGCGTGATTATCCATTTTAAGATCCTGCCTGTTTCCTCCCAGACACACATACTGTAATTGTGTATCTAAGAGCTTATTTTTCTTATGTCGGAGTTATTTTTCTTGTTTGCATTGCTCATATTTCCAAACTAAAGAGTCCATTGTGTTCCTTTGTGAGCAGTGAACACAGTGACAGTGGTTTGGGGGACGTGCCTGTGGAAGTGAAGAGAGCAGTGGTTAGAAGGAGCCTGAGGAGGGTCTTAAAGAGGCCAGTGTTGGTGCACATCATTTATCCATCTGTGGTCCTGCACCCTTTGGCTATGGCTACGTGCTCCATCTATAAATCCTACGTGGAGTATTACATTAATCCTGACAGGGGATGAATAATATAAGAAACAGTAGCAGAAAGAATTACAACAACTAGAAGTGTTTGAAATTCTCGTGTGGCCTTAAAGGTGCATAGCATTACTAGTTATGGGACCACGACCTGCTTGTCTCCATGGAAATATGACTGCTTTGTCTAGAATGTTCCACAGTATAGATTACACTTATCTGTCACAAGGGAGAAAAGCAGGACTATGCAACATTATAATTCAGATCAGTCAACTCCATTATTTATGTTTAATTTCATAAGATGAAGCAATAACATCTCCATGGAGACAAGCAGGTAGCAGACCCTCCATCAAATAGTTGCACAGTGCAGCTTTAATGCATGATGTTATGCATTTTAAGGTACTCTACAGGTTATTTTCTTGTTAATAAAGATGCTTTTTCTGTCACCTGCCTGTATTCTGGAAATGTTACTGTCCATAATGTTCCTCATTACATCATTAAAGGGACAGTCTGGAATTTTGTACATAGGGCCTCATTTCTTAGTGAGCCAGAGTGTTGGAGATGTGTGGAGACACTTTTTTTAACTATTCCATCCAGTCCTTGTATTTGCAGAGTTCACTGGTGCTAGGCTAGTGCATGTCAATGGCCATAGTTAGCCTGTCACTAAAAACAGTCTTACCAACTCCACAAAACACCCAAAGAAAACTTATTATTACACCAGACTGTCGATGTAAATGTCTGTGCCATGTCTGTGTAATAATTGTTTTGCTTCGGGTGTTTTGTGGAGTGGGTAAGACTGTTTTTAGTGGCAGGCTAACTATGGCCATTGACATGCACTAGCCTAGCACCAGCAAGCTCTGCAAATAGAAGGACTTGATGGAATATTTTAAAAAGTGTCTCCACACGTCTCCAACACTCTGGCTCACTAGGAAATGAGGTCCTATGTCCAAAACTTCGGACTCTCCCTTTAAACTTATGTATCACCATGGAGACAAGCAGGACATGTTATCGGTAAGAGCTCTGGAGGGACCACCACTCACAGTAAAACATCCATTTTTTTATTTATTTTTATATACTTTGAGCAGTAAACACATGGAAAGTGCATTGTGTAAGTTTTTTGGTGTAGGGTCTGTCAAATGCTTGTCTTCATGAAGATGTTATTGCTTTGTCTGGAATGTTTCACAGTATGGTATTAAACCTTTCTATCTTCATGGAGAAAAAAACAGAAAAAGTTAGAGGTCAGATCTGTGGAGACGTAACCCTGTTTAGAGTCAGAATGCCTGTTTTTCAAGATATGTTTTGAGCTATAAAACCACCTTATTGAATAAATATAAAGTAGATTTGGAACATTCTAGTCAACACAATGACATTTCCAAGGAGAAAATCTGATGGCAGACTTCCCACTTCCCACTAGAAAAGTTAGATAGTGCATCTTTAAGAGAATATAGACTACGATACAGCAACTATTTTAGTAGATTTTTGTAGACTACATCTGAACTAGATTTCAGGTCAGGGTACGAAGTTTTTACACTGCAAGAAGAACTAGGGCTTGCATACATAAGCTATACCTGTCTTTCTCCATTAAATGTCCCAAAACCACTGTAGCTGGGGAAGTGCTGAATTCATGCTTAGATTTCACTGAATAAAACATTTGAAAGATTTTGTGCAGCTCGAATCCCAAATGTGCCCAAACATGTAGCAGACTGTGACAGCATCCTCTCAAGATAAATGACATTGCAAAGACGCCACTTGTGCAATTAGGCTGAATGATGGAGGAGAGAAGGGGAGGAAAATCACTCTATATTGTCTGTCACCCAGGTTAATTAAGAACACTTTGTGCATTTTAATTACATTGAAATTACCCCCTTATTTGATGAAAGACTGATTCAACACACTTAATAGAAGAATGAAATATTTTATCTTATACACAATACTTTATCAAAGATTTACATATAAAAACACACTTTGATCTCATATGATTATCTCTTCATTGGCTCTCATTGACTTGAAGCCTCTGACTACTAAGGAACATCCAGCAACAAAAGGTACACACCACAGCACACCCTAAAGATTGTAGATTCAAATGCAACACATAGAATTCAAAAATATATACTCTCTAGTCTTGCAGTTGTTACTCTTTTGTATCATTTATACAGTTTACAAAAAATAAGTAATGTTTGAAAATGGGTTGTTTTCACGTTCGATGAGCTGATGATGTTGCCATCGGGAGTTCTTTGAAAAATCGGACTTGGTTCCTTGCAACTGGATGTACTTCCACAAGATTTAACCAAGCTTAGTGCTGACAGGGCATCACCAATCAGTTAATTCATTTATTTTTTTGGAATAAGGATAAGAGTTCTAAACAAAGTACTCAAATACTTCAAGAAATTGCCAAGATTGTGGATATTCATATAAAAATTGTGATCTAACCCAGTGTTTTCCAGTCTCCCTGTCAAGAAAACAAAAGCGTTCAGTATGTACTTGGGAATTGTTTTAGATAAAAGCTGAAATTGAACAAAAGACTCTTCAAAAGTAACATTTATTCTCAAATTTCTGACTTGCTGGATGACATTTAACATAAACTATTACTGAAACTAGAAAGTACAATAGTCACACATCTCTTTAAAAGCAGCTATTTCACTTGCCTTCTCATTGGGGGGTTGCGAACCACTTTACTAATTAAGAATGCCAAAATTTCCTTCACATTTGATATTACAACATCACCAGATCCTAGAACGTGAACCCCAACCAACAGAACGCCATGACATCAGGTGAAAACATGAGAAATACGAATGCTGTATTTTGCATCCACTTCTGCAGTAGTGTGTAGTGTGCCATGTCCCCTCTCCGAATCTCCGCTGTCGTTCCGTCCGCTCCATTACTCCCTGGCCGGGCCCAGCTGTCATGTATGCTCACATGTGGTCACTTCGGGGAGGGGGGTCTGCTCCTGCATGACCACTTGAGGGGGGGTGGGAGCTGGGCGGGCCTGGTGGGACACTGAGTTCTTCTGCAGTTCAACCCCAAATGCCGGAGGTGCGTTTTGTAACTGTCTTCTGTACTGAACAAAACTGCATGTCTTTATTATAATTGCCAGAATGTTTTTGCCGATCAAGATCCCGGATACCCTGTTGTCTCGATATAAGATCATATTCCCCCCTCGGATAAATAAGGTAATGACGTTGATGGTGACCAAGCTCAAAATGGGGTACAGGAGCATCTTATGTGGGACGATGTTGATACCCTGCATGCTAATTTCACTCAGAGAAACACATGGCAGCACCAATAGCAATATGTAGCAATAGAAAAACATCAAGCCTTCAGCCCAAAGAGGTAGCCCCTTCTTTTGAGGCTCCCAAAGATTAGCTTGGATGTCCAAAATGTCCAACAGGTCCACCACCACCCAGAAGAGTCTGTTCCGAATTTCCTCACGTTTTTTAAAAGCGCGAACGTACTCCATGTGGTCAATAGCGACAAGTACGACGAACAAAACGGGTATGCATATCGATAGCAGTAACGTCAATGCTTTCCTCGCAAGCGCGTCCAAGCTTTTCCGGTCCGCCTTGTAGTTTTGGTACACAAAGTAGACTTTAATCTCCAGAACGAATATATACAGGAACCAAAGTATCATAGCGTAGCCTCGTTTGGCTGTCCTGACTTCGGCGCCCACCCAAACCGCCACGTAACGCAAAACGATCAGAAAACAGATATCGCCCACCATGACCATTATACAGATCCCGATTTTGCGTGGTCCGTGGTTCTGTTCGACCAGGTAGGCGTCTATGAGCGCCATACTGCTCATGATGAGGATGGTGGACAGGCACACGTGGGGCTTGTTGGTGGGGGGCGGGGGGACCATCCTGGAGGAGCGGGACGGGGGACCTTGTGGGGGGTGCTGTTGGTGGTGGTGGAGGGGAGGAGGAGGCGTGAGAGAGGGGAGAGGGGACGAGTGCAGTGGGGGCTCCAGTTCAAATCAGATAGCGGTGCTTGCTCTGCTACTGCTGCTGCTGCTGCTGCTGCTGCTGCTGCTGCTGCTGCTGCTAAACTCCAGTGTTCCCCTCCATTGCCTTTGCCTTGGCCACAAGCCTGAATGCATTAACCGGATTCATCGCTTTATGAGTCAATCTCCGCTTGGACCACCTGCCGAATGGACACATTTAGTACATTATCATCTGGTAAAAAAAAAAATCACAAATCAGCAGTCTTTAGTTTAATCTGTCCTTACAACACATTGGTATATCATTGACTCATTTGCACTAGTTGGAAGATAGCATAGTACTCACTTGTGTCCCTTTTTGCACTTTATCCTAATGACTAGCAGCGAGCGATCATCCATGAGACTGCGCTGGGCGATCACAAAGCCCATCTGTAATCCACACAAGAGGAGGCTCCAGCTCTGCTCTTCCGATGCATGTAAATCCACTGCATTCCCAACCACTTTTCTCTCTCTTGTTCAAACTAAATCCCAAAACATTGCCATTGTCATAATCCACTTAGGTTTTCTGAAGCATTGTCACATATGGAGACTTGGCAAATAGGTTTAAGATAAGCCAAAGTGGGTAGAAAGTTACAAAAATTGCAGGTTGGAAATTTTCTTCATAAGTTTGATCCACTATCCATGTGTGAAGGTTCAGTTGTCCTTTACACTTGTGGATGCCTTTTCGTCCTCCGTGTGTCTCTTAGTGCCGTCTCCGCGCTGCTCCTGTTTGCTTCTTCAACAACCACAGATCACATTAAGATTATATTTTCTAACTCTTAACCATGTCAGTGAGGGACATCATCAGATTCTCCGATCTCCAGCACAGCTCAATATTGTCTCCTTGGTCTTCCTGTGTGACGCGGTTTTCCAAAAGTGTGCGCTCTGGTTTTGGTCTCCGCGCACACACGCATAGACACTCGCTCGCTTGACTAAAGGCACTTGCTGTGTAGAGGAGCCGCGCGGCAGACCACAGCTGCAGAGAGGAGAGAAGAGGAGAGGAGAGAAAGAGACTGAGAGTTTTCCAAGGGGGTGGGGAAAGGCAGAGGAAGGAGGAGGAGGGAGGAGGAGAGGGGAGGCTAAAGCTGAATGCACAACTTCTCTCTCACATGCTGCCTTCTCGTGCCAATATCCTATTTTACGGTTCTTTTATTCTCAGGGAAAATAAATATAGAACCTTGTTTGCAATTCTTCTTCTTAGAAACCTCATAAACAGAGCAGTAGGGAGCAGTGATACTTGAAATGAAATAAAATTATATTTTGTTATTAAATGCATTAATTTATGATGCTTCTGGTATGTATGAATAAAAATGTGCTGTTGTGGTTATTGTGGGTCTCACATTTTTTGTGACTTCACAAATTCTTGAGAATCCATCTTACTCAGCTCCCGCTGAAGTGTTTGCATGAGATAAGTTTGGAAACTGACCAGTCACAGGGCAGCACTGTGGTTTAGGTGGAAGCCAGGGGCAAACAAACCAAAACAAATATGGATAAACATAAACAGACAAATATACTTCAGCCAATTTTAGAGGAAATACAGACTATTTAGTTTTTGAGAAACGTGCAGAGGGAAGCACTCAGTGCATTTGTGGATGGGCAAGAGAGTGAATTTAATTAAAGTATTTGTTGTTATGCTATTGTGATACCTCGACACTGGTTGACAGCCATCCCCGACTGATGTGTAGAATTCAATTCAGAGGGCTACATATGTCAATCTGCCCAGAACCAGGTCATTTTTGCTACAAAAGACTTGCCTGACCAGCACCACTTAAGTACTTTTGAATGCAGAAGGGTTTGGAACAGGATCATAAAGTGTGACAGACAAATGTCTTAACTTGGGATGGTTCACTCACAGCCAATAATTAGTTGCAAGTGCCTATGAAATACTGAAGACATTCTTGTATCAGTCAAAAATAAATATATAACTTATTCTACCTCAGATACATTACAGTTTTCATGGATTATACTGAAACCCATGCCGTTTCTCCCTCCTGGATTTAATTTTTTGTTTTCAATTGTTCACTTGTAAACTGCCATGTCTGTTTTGACACAATGAGACCATGCGTTTCCCTGATTGGGTAATCCCCCTGTCAATCATAGCCATTGGAACTTGAGGAGATGGAATATGGCTGTAGACCTTTTCTATCTCTCTGCTTCCTGTATTCCCACCAATTGTAAAGTGGACTTGTAATTATTTTTAAGTTGATTATCTGTTTTTTTGCTCTACAATGACAAATTATAAATTCTTTAAACTGCTCCCTCTTGTGTTCAGTATAGTGAACAAGGTTTTTTGGAAAATAACACCATTTTTCACAGTGCTGGTCGAGATGAAAAGTGCTTCAGAAAGATGGGAGATGTAGTGGACAGCCGTCTCCCCAGCATGCCAAGTGTCATTGGTCAGAAAGAGGAGGGGGGCTCCGGGGAAACAAGAGGAGGAGAACGAGAGCGAGAGAGAGAGAGAACAGGGAGGTGTGGGTGTGGGGTGTGAGGTGACAGAGAGGATTTCTATTGATCCACCACGCTGTGAATCACGTGGCGGAGATGGGTCCAGTACCTTAACACATTGCCAATGACTTTATATGGAATAGTATTGCTGGGATTCATATGACATCACAACATACTTTTGGTCTATGGTTTATTAAGATGGTGGCAGACCAAATGATGATTGCTAAAGGTGCACTGTGTCACTTTTTGGGAGAGGTTACGCTACCTCTTGTCTCCATGGAAATTAGGGATAAGACGAGACACAGTTTCCACGAGATGAGAGAGGCACTAACGTCCATCCTCACGAAGTGATTTGAACGGCTACTCATGTCTCACATTAAATCCACCCCCCCACACCCTGGACCCCTTCCAGTTCGCGTACTGAGCCAAACATTCCACAGAGGATCTGATCTGCTCTGCCCTCCACCCAGCCCTCATCCATCTGGATAAAGACTAAAGACTCATATGTGAGAATGCTGTTCATAGACTTCAGTTCAGCATTCAACAGCATAACACCACAACAACTCATCTGCAAACTCGACAGGCTGGGTCTCAGCACCTCCCTCTGCAACTGGCTGCTAGACTTCCTCAGCCAGAGACCACAGCAGTACATGTTGGCAACAGTACCTCAAGCACCATTCTCTGAGCACAGGAGCTCCCCAAGGCTGCGTGCTCAGTCCTCTGCTCTTCACCCTGCTGATACATGACAGCACAACAACCTACAGCACCAACCACCTTTTGAAGTTCACGGACAACACCACTCTGGTAAGTTTCATCACCAAGGGTGATGAGACTCATTACAAGAAAGAGGTAGACCTTCTGACCAGGTGGTGCAGAGACAACAACCTCCAGCTGAATGTCAGCAAGACTAAGGAGATTGCTTTCGACTTCCAGAGAGGCCACACCAAACACCTGCCACTGGCACTGTGGAGAGATTCCTGGGAGTGATATAAGTGAGGACATCTCCTAGACCACTCAACACTGCATCACTGGTGAAGAAAGCCCAGCAGTGCCTCTACTTCCTGCAAAAATTCAAGCGGGCAAGTGGCTCACCACCCATCATGACCACATTCTACAGAGAAAACCATTGTGAGCATCCTTTCCAACTGCATCACTGTGTGGGGCGGAAGCTGCATAGTGAACACAGCAAGGAAGATCACTGGTGCACCTCTCCCCTCCACCACCCGCCTCACCTACAAATGCACCACCTGCAAAGCCATCACAATAGTGGGTGTTGCAAGCCACCCTGTGCACAATCTGTTCAGCCTGCTGCCCTCTGGGAGGAGCTACAGGAGCCTCCATTCCCGTACCACCAGGCTCACTAACAGCTTCATCCACCAGGCTGTTAGGATGCTGAACTCTCTCCCCTTTCTAACCACCAGGTGGCCAGGAAGCTAGGAATCTGCATTTCCCCAAGAACAGAACTTCCCAAAGAACACTTAGACTCAGACTCTCCAGACTCCCCCAAAAAAGACTGCCTCCTGCCTTGCAGTATAAGCCTTTTGCAATTTTGCTCTACTTACATTTACAGTCCCTGACAAAAGTCTTGTCACTTATCCATTTTGTAGAAACAAAAGCTTATAACTTGACTTTAAATTAATCGATTGGTTTTAGAAATGTCTCATATGAAAGCTAAAACCCTCCCAAATTATGCTCAATAAACTAAAATAAATTTGCTTCACTGAAAAAAGATTGATCATTTAATGAACACAGAAAGGTCAGATTTTGGCAAGACAAAAGTTTTGTCGCCTACAGAAAATTGAACAAATAATTTACTTCAAATACAAAAATATGTTGCATAACGTCAGTGAATTAAGTAGTGGTGCTGTGAGATCCATATTTAATATCTTGTATGACTTCATGAGCTTCAAGGACTACATCCATGTGGTTCAACAATGATTCATACAATTTGTTGATGAAGTCATCAGGAATAGCAAAGAAAGCGTCTTACATGCCTCCCAGAGTTCATCAAGATTCTTTGGTTTTGCCTTCCATGCTTCCTCTTTCATTCTACCCCAGACATGCTCAATGATGTTCATGTCTGGTGACTGGGCTGGCCAGTCCTGGAGCACCTTGATCTTCTTCGCCTTGAGAAACTTTGATGTAGAGATAGAAGTATGCGATAGAGCACCATCCAAAATTTGACCCCTTTTATGGTTGGGAATGTAAGCGGTAGCTAATATGTCTTTTGATATTTTAGGTTATTGATATTACCTTCCACCCTGCAAAATGTCTCGCACAGCCCCATACTGGAAGGAACCCCAGGCCATGATTTTTCCGCCACCAAACTTAACTGTTTTCTGGGTGAATCTTGGATCCATGTAGGCTCCAGTAGGTCTCCTGCAATATTTGCGGCGGCTGTGATGTAATTCAACTGAGGATTCATCTGAGAAATCCAC